GTTACATTCTAATGGGAGAGACAAGTACAAGTAAAAAGAAATATAGCATAAATATAAAGTATATAAATTACAACAGTTAAATATAAAGCATTTTTGGCAAGAAGGACTCTACCAGGGGGAGGAATCAGGAAAGGTTTAATATGGTGTTTGAACTGCATCTTAAAGAAAGAGGGCTGCCATGAGGACAAGATAAGAGGGGGAGGATATTACAGGCATATAAGAAAGTCAATACAAAGGCACTGAGAAAAGTTACATAGTGTGATAAATGAAAAACAGAGAGAAAATCAATTTGATTTGGTCACACAGTGAGAGAGAAGGAATGATGTCCAGTAAGACTATAAAGATAGGATGAGGAAAGGCTGTGTAGTGTCTTAAACTTAAACAGAGAGATTTATGTTTTATCTTAGAGACAATAAGAAGACAGTGGAATTGATTGAGTAGAGGAGTCACATGGTCAGATCTGCACTTAAGAAAAATTACTTTAGAAGTAGTGTGTAGGGTAAACTGGTATAAGAGATACTTGAGACAACTAGCAGTTTGTTGAAATAATCTAGGAAAGAAGAGATGAAGACCTGAATGAAGGATGCTGCTGTATGAGTGGAGAGGAGGCAGATAGAAAAGACATTATCAAAGTTTAAATGGCAAGATCTGGCAACTTATTGGATATGTGCAGCAAAGGAAAGTGAGCATTTGAAGATATTACTGCTGAGGTTACAGATCTGAGAGTCTGCGGGAATAAAGGTGGTGTCTTTTAAAGAAATAGGAAAAAATAGAAGAAAAACAGATTTTGTTGGAAAGAAAATAAATTCACTTTTGAACATGTTGAACTGAAGCTGCCTCCAGGACCTCTATTTTGAAATATCCAAAAGGTAATAATTGTTGATGTGAGACTAGAGCTGGACATATATGCATATGTGTTGGTATGTAAATACACATATACACATGCATACATATATGTATATATGTATATGTATAGACACATACATACATGAATATAAATTATCTACTCATTTGATGTAGGCAAATATACAAATTGAGAGGCACTGCTGTATTTTGGAGACACTTACTACCTCTATCATAATAGAAAAGTTCCTTAGTCTTGTAGTATCTCAGTTTTCTAGTATGGAAAATGAGGCTGGCAACATTACCTATTTTATAGGGCTTTTGTGAATAAAGAGCTTTTCAAAATTTACATGTCAGAGAAATATCATAATTATTATTATAATCAAAATTATGCATATACCAACATATAAATAAGGGGAAAACTCTAGAACTACTTTGCAAACAAAATTCTCTCTTAGCATAAAAAATGATTATATTTTAAAGAAGTGTTCATAGTTCAAGGCAACATCCTCTTATTTGATGAATCAGGTTCAAGAATCAAAGTGTGGGTGTTATTTTTTGTGCATAATAATAGTAATAAGACTAATTAGTTCTACTCTCATAGGATCATGGATTTGGATTTGGGAAGGATCTTAGATATCATCTGGTCCAATAATCTCATTTTACAGATGAAGAAATTGAGGCTCAGAGAAGTTAACTGACTCACCCAAAGTGAGTAAATGTCAGTGCTGGGGCCTTAATTGAACCGGGATCACAAAAACATATATTAAGAGCTAGAAGGCACCTCTGAGGTTATGAAGTCCAAATACATGCGGAAACAGGCACAGAGAGATTTTGCCTTGGTTGAGGTCATCAGATTGTACTTAGTAGAACTGGGCTGTGATGCCAGGTCCTCAGACTCCAAATCCAGTGCTCTCTCCTCTGTCATGCTATCTCCCATTTAATTGCGTAGTACTAATTCATGTGATAGCTTCTCTTAATTCAGTGTGCCAGATACTCCTATCATTCCGCCCACCTTCATCTATCTACCCAGTGTCTTAGGGTAGCATGATATAAATTCTTTGTGTTTTTTCTCATTCAAACAGAAGTCCATGGAATCAGCATCTTGCCTGTTCTCCCTCACCAATCTTAGCCATCAGTACCACTAAAAATAGCAACACTAGTTCTGAAGCTATGGCAAGCTACCCCCGAAGACTCCTCAGGAGCAAACTGCCAGTGAAGCATACAGCTGCTTGGTTCTTTTGAAGGAGCTGGCCATATGGTGCCCAATGGGTTTAGACTTTGAAGAAATCTTTCTGCTGCCATTTCATTTCCTGATGTGTCTAAACAGTTTTTTAAAATGTTTTTTAATATAAATTATATTTTGCTTTATATATTTTATATTTTCTTTTATATTTTGCTCCCTACTTTTCTCCAAGACTGACTCTCCTCCCCCATCAAACCAATTTAAAATGTATGATCATTGATCTGATAATGGGAGACACGTCATCATATAAATGGAAAATACTGGAGCTGCATATTAGCATTGTCAAGACTGTGGCTAAGTGGTAAATGGAACACAGAATGTAAGTGTTCCGATGAAGTAACTACCACTATTAGTTCTGTCAAGCCTGTGTGCCTATATATTTTTTCTGCTCATGTATTTTTTTTACTGTTTGAATGTTTTGCTTTTGTTTTTGTTTTTTTGTTTTGTTTTGGTTAACAAAATGGAAGGGAAGAAAACAAAACAATTAAAAAAAAAAACCTTCCTAAACACTTAAGATTTCAGGGCCTAAAGATTGCATTGTTATTAGCTACCTAAAATGTTTCCCTTCTTAATTTTTATTTTTCTAGCTAAAACTTACTGACATTCAGAATTTTATGTCATTCTTCACATGTCAGATTTGACCAGATGTTTTGTTTTTCCCTCTAATACCTGATCTTCTAATCATACTTTCTTTGATTATCAAGACAACTGAGGAAAAGGAGGGATGTTGAAACAGAGTATAAACTTTTTGAAAATAATCATCACTTCTTGGACTTTTTTTGATTCCTCTTAGTGCCTAACACTGTTTTTGGCACAATATAAACATATGTAGAATATCTGTTAACTGATTCATTTTAGCATGAAATATTCTGACAATTTCTCAATTATTCATTTTTTCCCCTAGGAAGTAAAATACAATTTTAGATACAGATTTTTTTTAAGCATAAGATTCCTCCAGTACTATCTCTCAGGGGGGTTCAGCAGGTTCTTATTTTATGCTTTAGCTAAACAGAATATTTTTCTTCAGAATGACCTAAATGCAAGAGAGGTGATTGTTTCTGAATATGGATATTGGAGTTATGGTGATATAAAAAGGCCAATGAGGCCAGAACACATGCCATTGGAAGTGGAATAAGCACAGAGGTATAAATTTCAGTCATCATAAGTGTTTTCTTCTAACAAGCCATCTTTTTAAGATTCTTCATGGGATATTCTTTTGTTGTATTGGTTTGATTGCTTTCTAAGAAACATATCATACAATCATAAATTGTCATATGAACAGCTTGTTTGGGGTTTTCCTATACATTGTAGAAAAGGAAAATCTAATCATTAAAAGCACAGCAAACTGGGACATAAACAAAGTACAAGATAATTAGCTATAAATAGGGTTACAAGAAATATGGGATAATAGTATATTAAACCTAATAGAATTTCAATAAAAACAACTTTTTCGCATGCCAGATAAGCAAACATTTATTCATACACCTAATGTATTCTTAGAAAGACAAGAACTACAATTCATGCATTACAAATGCAGTAAAACTGCCAAATAAATTTGTATAAATTCCAGTTACCACATTTCTGTTTGTATAAAGTAACAAAGGAATATTCCCAATGCTGTTTTGGAATATGTGAAAGAAAACTGGTGCATTCTTATTCCATGGGTAGAAAATGTACCATAAAGTGATATACAACAGAATAGTAAGGAGTGAATATAAGGTGTTACTATGTAGCAATTAATTATTAAACAAAGAGTGTCCATTGGGGTGGGCAATGATACTATGACCACTTGAAGAAGCATTGGTAGGACTGAACAGTTGTGGGAGGAGGGAGGTGGAACAATCTGGCAACAAGGTGATCCATAACTAAAACTATGTAAGGATAAAATAACCAAGAAACCACATAAATCAAAACTTTAGTAAGCATACATCCTTCTTTCCAAATAACATAAGGAGGACTGTTAACTAAACTTTAGAATAATTTGTCCCTGTGCAGTGCCTTGGTACAACTTCAAATTCAGATTTCTTGTAAAAAACATAAAATGTTTACCATGGGGTACGTTCATCACTTTAATGCCAATTGATTGGAAAAAAGCAAACAACTTTAATTCAAATCCATTTCATTTTGTAATGATTCAGGGAAAAAAAATAACTAAACTACTTTTAAGTAGCTCTATAGTCAAAAATAAAGATGCCAATATTATAATTATAGATTACTTTCTAAATCACTCATTACAATCAATTTTTGAAAATGATGATAAGAGGAAAAACTTAAAATCACTATTTATTGAAGCATTTGAATTTAAAAAAACAAAAAATACTATTACTACCTGAATCAGTTTATTATAGTGTTCAGATGAGGGAAAATATAGCTAGTAGATAGAAAATCTATAAAAGTTGTCAAATTTCCTGGCTTACCTTTTTTTTGGGGGGGGGTGTTGTACAGGCTTTTTTCAAGAAAGAAGTTAGTTTTTCTTGGACTTATAGATAAGCAGCAAATAAGTGCTTTAGATAAGAGGATCAAAGTGAAATCAAGCAAAGAGAAGAAAATGGGAGAAGGCTACAATGGAAGTGATTATGTGATGTGATTACACAGTGCAAAGGGATCTAGATAGGGCATTAGAGAAAATGAATACTGAGCAAAGACTAAAGAAAACACAGAAAAGGACAAAAAGATTGGGTAGTAATCTGCACACAGAATTAGAAAAAAATAGGGGAAGGTATGTGCTTGGTGAAGTGAGAAGAATCATTGAGTTATGGTCAAAGGAGACAGCAGAGAGCACAGAAGCTGAGTTCAGAAGCAAGAATGAGAGACTCAAAGTGAGAAGCTCAGAGCAGCAATGTAAATTTGGCAAGCCACATGACATTTAACCTTCTGTAGGTGTTAAATAACAAAATCAAAAGTTCAGTACCTTTGCTTTATCTCTCATTGATCCTTTCCCCAGGATAGACATTTTAGCACCTGTCTCTTCCTGTAGCCTCTTCAAGGAGTTTCCTCTTGGTCCGAGCAATTTCCCCACAAAATTGAACTAGGAAACAAAATCAATAAAATGTCTGTTTTAAGATGGGGTAAAGAGACAATGTGCAATAAGAATTTGAAAAAAAAAATTCCACAGCATTGTGAAGATGCTTATTTTGGTAGAGAGGTTATATTGACCCTTTCAGGTCTCTGAGGTCTATTCAGTGAAATACTTCTTCCTGTGCATTAAATGATACCCTTACTATATGATAGAGTATATTAAAAATGATCAATTTATTTATCATAATTAAAACATTTAAGGTAAAATTAAATTATAAAAATAAGAAGCCTATTTAAATATTTTAGTTCAACGTTTGATCAAAATAGATTTATCAGATACTAATAATACGCCAAAACCTATAGTTAAAAATGTAACAAATTATACAGCATGCAGAAAATAACATAAAAATAATAAGTTCTTATAGACTAAGTTCATTTTAACAAGTTTCCTTAATAGGTCATTTTAGACTTATATATTTTTGACAGAATTTCTAGATTAGGACAATGCCATAGATATAACACATTTTATCATATATAACGCATTATCATATAGCACATTTTATCAAGGCAGTTGACAAAGTCCATAATAAATAGCTATCAAGAATATCTATCATGAAATCCTTGTGGGTGAAATGTGGAGTGGGTGGATAGCTAGTACAGCCAGGTACATTACTGAACTGTTTGAATGAGCAGACCAGTGCAGCAAATAATGAATCTCTCTCAATTTGGAGAAGTTTTCTACTGGAATGACCCAAGGATCTCTCTTTGGCTTTATGCTAGTGAAAATTTTCATCACTGACTTAGAAAACAAATGACAATCTTCTCAAATATATAGATTACACAGAATTTAAATGGATAGCTAAATTTGGAAAACAGCCAGGATTAAAAAAATAAAAAACTATCAATAGAATAGCCATAATAGTAACTCACATTTAAATGTACTTTAAAAGTTACAAAGTAATTTACTCAAACATTCCTTTCATATATATAGCAATAGTGTTTCCTTGTCCCAGTTATAGAGATGAGAAAACTGAAGAGAAGAGAAGCTTATCGGTGAGCCATATGTCACAAAATTAGTAAACATCAGAGTCAGTATTTGAACTCATTTCTCTTAACTCCAAGTCTAGTACTCTCTCCTATATACCTGACTGATGACTGAAGCCCTACAGTTGGTTTAGTAAATTGCAAAAAGTCATATATATTGGAAGCAGGCTAGACAATAAATGTATGTGAAATAGTCAGAGAGATTTAACAATCCCTATTAATAAAGAGTTTTCATTCTTTCTTTACCAAGATGTAAATGTTTCAAATGTGGATCTAGTAATTAATTTTGTATCTGCCATCCAATGATTAGGCTAGTTACATTTATGAGAGCTATATTTTTTTTGTATCATCATCAGTTTGGCCATAGGGTAATGAATTTTTCTACTATAGCAAATCACAAAGATGGTCTAATAAAGCATACAGGGATCCTTGTTGGTAGACAGATGGGCTATAGTATTGAAATCAGAGTTCTTCAAAGTCAGTATAAAATACAATTTTATGTGCTTTCATACCTTGTTAGCCTGGTTATTTTTATGTATCTTAGAAAGTCTGATCCTGTGGAATACATAGGGGTAGCATATATAATTGATTAAATGTGGTTTTTGTCATCCCTCTTGTAAAAAAGTTGGTTGTCAGTCATCTGGTCAGGAACATTATCTTTCATTTTCATATTTTTGTTTGTTTTTAAAATGTGATTAATCATAACTTGACTAACAACTTTCAAGAATACAACCTCCCAGTTTAGAATTGCCTGGACCCAAGATGGACAAAGAATAATATTGATTTACAATTTATATTTCAGTCTTATTAGTATTTAAGCACAGATCTACATTTTGGAACCTAAACAGTCTGATCAAACATGAAATCTTGCATAGCAGAATAGGTATCTTTGTTTTAAAGACAAACATCCCGTCCCTTTTATTTTTCTCTTTTTGTTTGGAGGCATAACTTCTCTTGGAATTTTGCAGACAAGTCAAGTTGATCATTGCTATGTCATATTCCCACAATGAGAGTCTTTCTTAGACTCTTTATAACATTAAAAATGAATAATAGATGCTTTAAATAGTTTTCTGATCATTAATGAAAACTTTATACCTTTTACTTTCTACCATTTAAAATACTTCAGTCTCATTCAATTTTTCTTTATTAGAACTTACAAATACATTTTCTATAGCTACAATAACATCCTAGTGATCAAATTACCAATGAGATGAATCTGCTTTCCCCTCACTTCATTTTGAGCAACCAATAGCCCTGAACCATGTAGATATATTAATGACTGCAGCAGTGTTTTACACCATAATTACTCAAATATATATTTTAAAATGTGTTTATCTTCATATTCCCACATATTAGGAATTGATCTTTCTTTTCATTCTTTGATTTAAAAAATACATTGTTCGGAGGTTTTCCTCATTTGTTTTAATTCACAATTGGCAAATTATTTGTTCTTTCAACTGCCCAAATTTTGGGGCTTATACAAATCCTTCTGAGTTATTATTTTCCCCTCTAATAAATTCCTTACATGGGCAGATCAATTCCTTTCTTTCAAACATTTAGCAACACTTTGTATATAGATTACTTAAAAAATAATATAAGTAAATGTGATATGGTAGTGCAAAAGAAGGAAATAGGTAGGTTATGGCAAAATTTTACAGAAAGGGATCTTAAAAATGATAATGCCCAAGATGGAATAATAGAAATGATCTGTCAACCAGCCTCTTCACTTTAAGGCATCTAAGATCTGTTTTAGAGTGACAACCTGGCATAATGGAAAGAAAATAGGTCTCAGAATGAAGAAGACCTGGAGTCAAGTCCCATCACCCATACAGAAAACCAATTTGACACTGGGCTCGTCATTAAACTTCTCAGTGCTCCAACCAACTCTCTAAGACTAGAAATTGCAGAGCAGTTGCTGGCATGTATTGGTTGGGAAAGTTCCTCATCAATAAGCTCTCTTTATGCTCACTACCTGTTTGACAATAGGAAAGTCATTAATCTCTCAAAGCCTGACTCTTCTCTCTAAAACTATAAAGTATGGAAGAGTTGCAGATCTGCATTGAGAAAGAATTTTCTATTCTGTTCTATTAACTGTGGTGAATAAATCATTGATATACACTTTTTGTAGGCTCTGTTAACTTCTTCCCTGTAATTATATAGGTATCCTATCAAATACATCTAAGGAGCTGTTTATACATTCTGCATTATCATGAAACAGTGTGACTTAATAGAAATTGCTCTGGATTTAGAGTTAGGGTATCTGGGCTGAAATCTTGACTTTTCTACTTAATGCATGACTTCAAGTTTAATGTTTGATCTTGCACTGAACCTTTCCTGGGCCTCCTTTTCCTCTTACATGAAGTGAAGAATTTTGACTAGGTAATTTCTATGACCTTTTTTAGCTCTAAATATGTGATCCTATGTTAATCATCATGACAGGTTCTCTATATCACTAATCATGGCTCTAGGATCTGCTTATTTGAAAATCAACATTTTCCCCCTTATTCTCCATATAAGACATTACTATGTGCTTCACAATCTCTCAAAACTTATGGTTTCATTAATGTCATTGAACAAATCAACTAAATGAAGATGAACATGTTACTGAAAATGCCAACATTTTTTAAGTGGCCTTTCCTCCATCAATGGATATTGCAATCCCTTTATGTTTCCCTAGATAGTCTTTATGACTTTGAAGTGTGATGACTGTCTGCATTAGAAGCTTTAGAATATCCAAATGATTTTTGTTTGAGGATGGCAAAGGGATAAATTATATTTGTGATCATGCTTTCAATTGAAAAACTAACTGTTGGTTATTTTAACTTTTTTCTTGATGTGCCTGAAGCCTCTAGTGAGAAAACAAAATAAATAATCAGGTAGTCAATGACTACCAAGTGTCAATCTCCTAATTTGCTGATCATAGAGGGTCATTAGCTTTGGTCTATGTCCAGTTAAGTCACTCTTATTTTTGTTCAGTTTGTGGATTATCTATAGCCAAGGTTAACTTTCCTAGCATGTTTCAAGACACTTTCTCATTATTAGATAGTTTATACTCAAAGGACCTAATCTAATCACATTACTGGCCTATAGGCAATTATAACTAGAAGGCAAATCCCCAAAGTTAAACCTTATATATTACAAAGCATTTACTTATATTTATAAGTAACTGATTTCAAAGATCTATATCACTTTTTCATATTATTTATATCTATAATAGTTCTATTTAATGACATCTTATTAGAGTTATTTTATTCCATATTTATTATTTTGCAAATGATTTTGGTCTGTCTATACCAAGAAAAATAGAGAATGAATGCCTATTATCCAGATTAGGATATAAAGTTGGATAGGCAGTCTATAGAACTCATTCGTTAGTACATATATATTAGATAGAAACTGCAACAATGAACTGGGTCCAGTATTAAATGGGATAAGTTGCACAGGTTAGATCCCTCCTTTTTGGGGTTGGGAGGAGAGTGGAAGAATTACATAATATTTATAGTGCCTTCAGTTTCTTCTTCCAAAAAGATGTGTCTTTTTAACATTCCATCCAACCAAGTAAATATATATTAAGTGCCTATTATGTGCCAGGCACTGTGCTAAGTGCTGAGGATATGATTTTTAATAAAGACAGCCCTTGCCCTTAAGGAGCTTACATTCTAATGGAGAGAGGTCACACAAAAGATCAATATTCTTCCAGTGATGCTGAATGGCATGACTATCAATTATTGAATATCATAGTCTCCAAAGAATTAAAGATGCTGGTCATGCAAAATGAAATGGATCACTTTATGGTAGGTGTGACTAAGCTGTAGTATACCCTCGATGAAAAATTATGCAAGAGTAATTGTACACAAAGGGTGTCATCCCCAAGACATATAATCAATTCTGTAGGACAGTTTCACCCACACCCAGGGTCTCTGTCCTTTTGCACAAACTGTTTCCTGTGACTGACATGGATTGTTT